AATTCTAATCCTTTTAATTGAAATTCTATATAGTTTGGCCATTTAAACTTTGATGAGAGTTTAATTAAATAGAATGAAAGCCTTTAGAAATAAAAAACTGAAGTTATTTTGAAAATAAATCTATCTTTAAAATATTTATAAAGGTATTTTTCAAATCTTATAAGGCAATCTTTTTGTTAAAATCCGAGTTTTTATTGTAGAAATACCATAATGATAAATTTATCCAAACTAGAAAATATAAATTTTATTCTTTGATACTCTGGATTCATAATAATAATTATTAGATTATAAATAAAATTTTGTTGCTTTATTTTACAATTTTCTATTAAATTGTTTGATAGAATTAAAAATGATCTAATTTTTTAGTATAATAATAGATAGATAGCTTATGATTGTTTAATGAATCTCAACTAATTTCATTTTTCTTATTTTTTTATATATACTGATATTTCGATATTAATTAAATTTTGTTTAGAGATTAATTAATTAGTTCTTTTGTAAAAAAATTATATATATATATTTACAAATTATACAATAATCATTAATTCATTATAAATAATTTTGAGTTTTTAGTATGAAATTGATTTAAAATGAATTATTATTATTAGTATATTTATTCTGAATTTTTGAGTCAAAATTTAAATATTATATTTGTTCATTACTAATTATCTTTTTATATGAATTATAAAATTATTTTATGCATTTAATAAAGTAATTATAATTTCTAGTATCTTATTATTATGGTTAATAAATCAAAAAAATGATTTATTATTAACATTATCAAATGATGATTGGAATGGAAATTTAATTTCAGAACTTATTTTTCAGTAATGCAAGTAGTAGCATGAAGAATAGTATTTAATTTCTAAAAATTATGTTCTTTAGATTTTCTAAGTTAAGATTAATTACACAAATATTCAAGGGGAAGTTTTACTTACCAAAGTTTTTGATATCAAGGTCGAAGAGGCTTCTAATACTTTCTCCACCTATAAACTGTTGCTGGATCTGATGGTCTGGAGTTAAAAATTCCCCTCCAGCCTTATTTCTAATCGAAACAAAGTTGATCTGAGGCAAGAGGGCCCAGACATTGTAAAAAACATCAAAAAAGAAAAAGAAACCCTTTAATAACATTAGTATTTTCTAAAATTCTATCAGTTAGTTTGGAAGAATTCTAACCTATATTTTTATGACTTAAATAAAATAATGTGAATAAACCATACATTGCTCCTATTGGGAGGATGTATTATTAATTTCCTGTTAAAAATGATCCATCAGTTTACCTTATTTAAAGAAACATATGTAGATAGACAAGTAGGTAATTAGAAAAACGGGATGATGCTAATAAAGTTTATTTAGATTAAAAAAATGTATGTAATTCTGTATAATTAGTTACATATATATAAATAATAGATTCATTATGCCTCATCTATTCTGAATAATATGATTATGAAGAAGAATAAAATGATGATAATTTAATATTGGAGATTGATGTAGTATTTTCTATCTTGCAAAAATTATCAATACAGGATTTTGTTTCATTTAACAAGAAAACTATTATGTAAATTAATTTATTATATAAATTTAGAAGAAAATACTAGTTTTTAATTTTGTAGATTTAATTGCATTATTTTGATTAATATTTAGAAATAATGGTTTAAGATTTATCATATTTAACTTAGAATTAATTTGATAGGCTCTTAAAATACAAATCTTAATATTTTGAAACAAGGGATTGATTGGAATGCCAGAAAACACAGAAAAGAAGACTCTGAATTGATACTGGACAAAATAGTAAAGTAGATGTATTCATAATAATAATTAAATATGAAACTCTTATCATATCCCAATCTTCTTTTTATTCTTAAGTAGAATAGGATGAAAAATAGTTGTGATGATGCCTTTAGCCTTCTTAACTGAGAATTCAATCCTATAAATTCTTCATTTATAATTTCAGATTCTCTTAGCTGTTTAAGGAGGTCAGCCTTAGCAGAAGTATTTAGGTTTAAGGGTATCACTCGAATATGCGGTAATCACTGATATCATTAAAGAACCTTATAAAACTTCTTAATGTGGGATACTGAATAATCTCTCATTATTTTATTGCTCTCATCATTTGATTAAATACTGATTGTTGTTTGATATCTGATAATATAGCATTTTTATATAATTTACCTCAAAATAATGAAATAGGACCAAACAATTATTATGAAAAATATGTAATATAATTTAGAATTCTTCTAAAAATCATAAATAAAAAATATAAGCTTAATTGAAAGGATATAGAATTAATTTCATTGCTAATGATATTTTCATCTTATAATAAGGATCCTGTAATATATATGATTTTTTCCTGTTTAATTCTATTCATAACAAATCAATTCTATGAATTTAAATGTAATAAAGCAATTAGTAAACTATAAATTTACTTATATATAATATAATGTTTAATAAAATAATAAAGCTGATTTGATTGAATCTCTATTGAAATAAATCTAATAATTATTTTAATTTTCTAAACTAAATGATCTTTATAGTTTGATATAAATTCTTAAAAGTTTATTTATGTATTTAAATAATGTAATTTAACATCAATTTAAAACTTATGTGAAAAAATTATAGTAATGTCTTTTTTGAGCTTTATTAATAAATTATATTTATTTAGTTGAAGGTTTTTAACTTATCCATTGGTAATGTCAAGTTTGATATTTCATTAATTATAGAGTAGTAGAATTAATAGGATTTATTAAAATTCATAATAAAAGATTTCCTTGAAATTCAATTTAATTAATTCATAAAAGATATGAATAACTAAGATAATTATTAATTAATATAAATGCTAATTAATGATTTTTATTATAAATCATTATTTCTTAATTTTTTGATCTGAATTAATAATACTTTAAAATTTTAAGGATTATGAGAGATTCTATCTAATTAAAAACAAACTATTTAATTTTAATTCATTTATAATATAAATTATTAAATAAAATATTATTTTATAAAATCAAAGAACACATAAAATTTTCATAAAACTTTTTGATGAATTTATTTGATTTCATCAAATATATTACATTCATAAATTCATTCAATTTTCATGAAGCATCTTTATATTTTTGATATTATAAAAAATGCTACATTTTGTAATTTTCTAAATTGATAAAGAGATTAGATATAAGAATCACTTTAATCAAAAAAATAAAGCTTATTACATTATTGATTAAACTTAATTGATATTCAAGATTGTGTGTAGATGTAACAATATAAGAATATATTACTTTGGCTATCAAGATCACATCTAAAATAATGGCGTATAGGGAATTTTTGTATTCTTAGGTTTAATCAGGTTGAAATCAATAACTCCACTTTCATGAGATCAATTCTTCTATTATGAGGTTAGTATTTGTTTTGTAATATGAATTTAAGCTTCAAGGAACAGACCTACAGAAATAATAAACTAAAACAATATATAAAAATAATTTGAATTATCTATTTGTAAATGTCAGTAGAACATATAGATTTATTAGATTTATATGATATTAAGTATTATAAATATTATGAAATGATTGCTTAACATATAAAGAAGCTATAAAAAAATCATGGAAATTTATAATAATAAGAAAACTAAATATGGAATAAAACAACTTAGTAAGAATTTCACATTCTATTAAGCTCATAAAGTTCACAATTCAATGTTTTAAAGAGTAATTTTTGAGGATAGAAGCATACTTTAGTTTGAGATTGTAAATGATGTCTATTTAGTGATTTTTATAATAATTTGTATTCGAAGTTGATGATTCTATTTCAGTATATTTGCTGTCTTACAAATAATAACTAGATGAATAAATTCATATAGCTTAATTATTGTTAAAGTAAAAAAACATATACATGTACTATTCAAATTGTTTTTTCATCTGAAAATAATGATATTTGCAATTTAAACCTTTCTAAACAATAAATTCAAAGCCATATCATATATATTGTTTTAAAGTGCGTGAGCTTTAATTTAAATTAAAATAAGAAATAGTAAATGTAAATTTTAGAGGGAAAATAAAAATAAAAAACAAATATGTAAAAATTGAAGTGATTAAAGATACTTAAGGTAGTATTCATTTAAGTGGTAAAATTAAAAAATCTCAACAATCAGTTGGTCTATTTGAAGCTTTTATTGTATTAAGCTAGAAATATAGAGCTGTATAAAACAAATTATATCTTTAGATAATTCTTTTTTTATAACATAAAATAGCACTTATATGCTATCTTATAGAGAAATTTAAAAAAATAGATTACTAAAATGAGAATAATTATAATTTAAAAGAACTAGACATAATTTTATAAATATTATTTTATCAATAAATTCTATTCCATAAAAATTTTCATACATATTAAATTAGGGTTTCATTCTAGAAAAATCATAAAAGAAGATTTCTTAATGATAATTTAGTATGTAAACCAGAAAAGGTTGAAAATAAATGGAATTTTAAGAGTTTATATATCAGTCTGATTAATTTTTTCCATAAAATTTAAATTATTATTTGTAATGCTCTATTAAATGTTTTTCACACAATTTGCAATTTCTTATGGATAGATTTTGTATCAAGAAAACTTTATAGATGATAATTTTGTAGATACTGAAGGTATTTAATATTATATAATGTTAGGATGGTAAGTATATAATGCACCCAAAAGTATAGGTGAATGTAATGAAACAAATTATGAAGTATTTGGAAATAACACAATGATTACAAAACTTATATCTCTACCTCCACACTATGCAATTATGATTACAGTAGAATTTTGGAAGTAATATATATTATAAATATATAGAATGGATTCTTGGGATGATGAATATTTTTATATATATGTAGACTAGTAGCTAATATTCTCAAAAATGTATGGATCGTCAGCTACAAATCCAAACTTGTGTGGATCAAGATAAGGGCAGGTATGGCGTGAAGAAATATCGTAAATCAGTGTAACATAAAATCACAACTTCAAATCACTTTTTATTCTTATGACACCAAATTTAAAAGATAAACAAGATGTAAGAATATTATTTATGAAAGGAATGGGGGGAATTAGACATTTCAAATTATATATCTATGAATGTCCACCTGGATGTTAAATTTGTACTTCAGAAGATTCAGCTATTCTTTGCCAGATTTGGGTTATTTAATATCAAAGCTTGTTAAATGTGGATATTGATTAATTCTAAATGGAAGGATGGATAATTTTGGAAGGAGAATAATCTATAAATTCTTGTTCTTGTAATTTNATAAAAAAATTATTTCTTAGATTAATTCTTTTTTTTATAACATAATATACCACTAATATGGAATCTTATAGAGAAATTTATAAAATAGATAACTAAAATGATAATAATTATAATTTAAAAGAACTAGACATAATTATATAAATATTATTTTATCAATAAATTTAACTATTCCATAAAAATTTTTAAATTTTCATACATGTTAAAGAAGGGTTTCATTCTAGAAAAATCATAAAGAAGACTTCTTAATGATTATTTAGTATGTAAACTAGCACCGGTTGAAAATAAATGGAATTTTAAAAGTTCATATATCAGTTTGATTAATTTTTTCCATAAAAATTTAAATTATTATTCATTATGCTCTATTAAATGCTTTTCACGCAATTTGCAATTTCTTATGGATAGATTTTGTACCAAGAAAACTTTATAGATGATAGCTTTGTAGATACTGAAGGTATTTTATATTATTTAATGTTAGGATGGTAAGTATATAATGCACCCAAAAATATAGGTGAATGTAATGAAATAAAATTATTTGGAGGTTATGAAGTATTTGGAAATAACACAATGATTACAAAACTTATATCTCTACCTCCACACTATGCAATTATGATTACAGTAGAATTTTGGAAGTAATATATATTATAAATATATAGAATGGATTCTTGGGATGATGAATATTTTTATATATATGTAGACTAGTAGCTAATATTCTCAAAAATGTATGGATCGTCAGCTACAAATCCAAACTTGTGTGGATCAAGATAAGGGCAGGTATGGCGTGAAGAAATATCGTAAATCAGTGTAACATAAAATCACAACTTCAAATCACTTTTTATTCTTATGACACCAAATTTAAAAGATAAACAAGATGTAAGAATATTATTTATGAAAGGAATGGGGGGAATTAGACATTTCAAATTATATATCTATGAATGTCCACCTGGATGTTAAATTTGTACTTCAGAAGATTCAGCTATTCTTTGCCAGATTTGGGTTATTTAATATCAAAGCTTGTTAAATGTGGATATTGATTAATTCTAAATGGAAGGATGGATAATTTTGGAAGGAGAATAATCTATAAATTCTTGTTCTTGTAATTAAATTTTACATTATTTTAGCTATTCCTATGTTAAAAGGATTGGTTAAAAATGAACAAAAAAGCAAAATTATAAAATCAATAAACTTGCCAATTCACTGTTAAATTAAAATTAAATTTAGGTTTATTTTCATCGACAAATGGGATTCTGAATATGCCTAATTAGATGTTGATAATCATATTCTCATTAATCAGTTATAGGGAAAATTAATCTTTGTGGTGGGTAGATTGGTGAGAAAATATTAGATTAGGAAATTATTTTACCTCATAAATAATAATTGTTTGAATTGTAATTTACTACTTCATTGACAAATTCACTTTCAGAATTATCTTTTGGCATAAGAGATATTGAAATATTTATAGGTAAATATATCAATAATTTAAGATTGTCCATTTGGTTTTCCTTTTGATTTTTTTTGTGAAGGAATTTTTGGAAATGGAGAGATAGATAAAGCTGAATAATGTGATGATGGAAATATTTATCCTTTTGATGGATGTTTTAATTGCCAATATTCTTGTGTTGAAGGTTGTTCTAATTGTATTAATGGAATTTGTTTTGAATGCTAAGAAGAATGGATATTCTATGAATTTACATGCACTGAATATTTCCTTAAAAATACTTAAGATTAATATCATATTGAATAGCAGTAATAATGTTTAAATAATTGTAAATTATGTATAAATAGGATGTGTTAAGAATGTGATATTGGATTCTATTTAATCAACAATAAATGTTAAACAATTTGTGGAGATGGAATAATAGCTGGGGATGAAGTATGTGAATTAGATTAATAAGATTGTTAAAATTGTTAATTTATTTGCTCTAAGTATTGTGATGTTTGCATAGAAGGTGAATGTCAGTAATTTTTAATTGGATATACATTTGATTATATTGAAAAATATTGTTAACCTATATGTGGAAATGGTGTTGTGTCTGATGATGAAGAATGTGATGATTTAATATAGAAAATGGAGATGGATGTTCTAGTTAATGTAAAATTGAATAGAATTATATTTGTAAGAATTATTAATACTCATTTTCAGAATGTAATTATGAAAAATATCCTTCATTCTAACTTTCATTAATTAGTACATATCATGAATATTAATATGTATCCATTTATTTTGATTAAATTGTTAAAACAATTAGTTAGACTGCTTTTTCTACAATGATACGTATGCGTTTAATAGGACCAAATGAAATATTTTATGATTTACACTTAATTCCTATTTAAGAACCTTTTGAATAAGTTTCAGCTGCAGAATACTTAGTCAAAATTGTAATAAACACTACTCTATCATAACCACCAATTTTAGAAGTAATTCTAGAGGATTAACTATTTAATTATCATGATGTTCCACTTGCTAATTAAATAAATTAAATAAAACTTA